GACCTGCGGCTAGCCGCCCAGGTGCTCATCGCCTCACTAATCGGGCAGACCGAATCCAAGCCTTCTAATTGGCATGTTGAGGGGAGGCCTTATTTTTCTCTATTTCTCTATCTCCGGGCATTCCTACCTCTCCCATTTCACTTCTATCTTCCAGCATTCCCATTTCTCTTTTACTTCACTTCCAAACTTCTGTTTCTCTTATCCCCGCAGCTTTCCGGCACCTCGCCGCGCCGGCGGGTTCCCGGCTCTGCGCCGCTTCAGCCCGCGCGCCTCTCTCATCTGTGCAGCTTCCCGGCTTTGCGCGGCTCGGCTTTGCGCGCTCCGCGGTCTCCACGCTTAACCCTTTCGCGTCTGAACCACGGCCTACGCCAGCGTTCCCTATCTATTCACGCCCCGTGCTCTCTCTGCACGCGGCGGCTTCCGCGAGTAACACAGCGTAGCTTGCGTCTCCACCACTAGCATTCAATCCAAGTTCCCCGGGCTAGCCTGGCGAATTCAACCCAGCGTACGTCTCCGCCCCATGATTTGGCTTCCCGTCCTTTGCTCCCCGGGCTAATCAGACGGATCCCAATCTGGCTTACGTCTCAGCTTCTGGTTTCAACTTTTCGCCCCCTATTCCCGGGCTAACTTGAGAATCCCAAAGTGGCTTTCGTTTCCGCCTCGGCCTGCCCCCCGCGGCTTCAATTTCCCTAACAGTTTTCTCTACCCGGTATGTTTCCCCAAGCTTTCCTCCAACGATATTCCTCCCTCATTTCTCCTGGCCTCTCCCCACAGTCCGCATCCGAGTCTGTTTGTTCTAGCTTTCACTTTCGCTTTCGACCTTAGAGATTTCTCCCAGCTTCCCCCCGTAGTCCGTATCCGAATCTATGCCTAGGCTTTCAATAGCTTCTTCCGGCTCCTTTTTCGTCCGGCTTTTCCCTAGGCTGTTTCGAGTCTATGCCTAGGCTTTCAATAGCTTCTTCCGGCACCCTTTTCGTCCGGCTTTTCCCTAGGCTGTTTGCTAGTCTCTCTCTCCGGTAATTTCCCTAGGCTGTTTGCTAGTTTCTCTCTCCGATATTTTCCCAGTTCTTCCCGTTTCTTCCCTCCTAAGTTTCATATCCGTCCTAGGTTTCCTATCCGAGCTAGGTTTCCTATCCGAGTCACGGCACCATTATGTCGCTCCCCCTCTTCATGGAGGAACGACACTAAGCCCTGCCTAGGCTTCATATCCGAGTCACGGCACCATTATGTCGCTCCCCCTCTTCGTGGAGGAACGACACAGGACCCTGCGCTGTTCTTTCTGCTGCTCGGCCCTCCCCGGGTTTGCTGCTGGTTCTTCCCGGGTTGGCTACTATCCCTTCCACCTCCGTGGAAGGGCAGTTCCCCCTGGCCACATTCCCCACTTCCGCAGGGGAGCGGCACACCGCCGGCCGGCTCTTCTCGGGGGCTGCACGGGTGTTCCTTAGATGTTCCCCATAGATGTTCCTGGTGCATGCCGTCTCTCTCCTCCTTTATAGTCCTCCTCCGCCAATCCCAACTCGGCTGCCCACACGCCGAGTACGCTGCTCTCCAATCAGTAGCAAGTCCTACAGTTAATTGGTTGAACTGGAGGCAGCTGTGCGAAAGCTGTTTACTTCTCTCCCAGCGCCATATTGTGGGAGAGCAGATGCATAGAATAAGTCCTAATTCGAGTAACAGTCTAGTCCGGTTTGCTCCCCACACTTAGTCAAATATTCCTTTATGTATTAGAGTCTGTTTTGATCTTTGTATTCTGTTCCATTAGTCAATCTGTGGCATGAATGCTATGATAAAGGAGCAAATATTATAAAATGTCAACCTACAAAAGTGGAATGAAGAAGGACTGGTTGGTGGATTTGCCTTGGCTATAGAGTAGAAAACCAGAATTTTGCCTGCTGATGAAATACACATACAACTTGAAATTGGCATGTGCAGAGAATTATGAAGGAGCATAAACATATTTGAATTGCATTACTGGAGTGCTTGAAGGAAATTACCAGAGATTGAGGGATAGATACTTCTAGGTCACTGCTGACTTTCTATGTCACATTGTGGAACTTAAATTTTATCCTATAAACAATAGAGGAGTTCTAAGCATAGTGGTGAAATGTAAGATTATACATTAGATTTGAGTCAATGCTGAGTTTGGTGGACCCTCAGCAATCTATATACATGAGCTTCAGGTTGTGTAAACCATCTAGACCATTTGTGCTTGAAAGAGAACACCTGTGTCTTTCATCAGATTCTCAGAAGTCTTTCATGCATGCGTGCGCACACAGGTTATGAATACCTTGTTCAGAAGGATTTCTGTCGTAACATGGAATAGAAAGACGCTGTTGCCTGTAAGGAAGTGTTGCATTAGCGCAGACAGAAGATGAGTGAGTGGCAAAGGGCAGGAATGAGCTTTCCGTTCCATTTATTATTTCTGGAAGGTACAGCCAATTATCATTATTCCCAGTTCTATAAATTTACTAGTAAGTAGTGGATTATTGCTTCTACAGGAAATACAGGGTGAAACCAGGATGCTCTCTGTATTTTGGGTCCTAAATAGTTTATGTCTTTGTAGCAGTTAGGACCTGTTTGCTTAAAAATGTGTTTGCACCAAGCTTAATATTTGCACACTTAATTGTTTTAAATATAATTCTGATAAGCATATTTTTAACCATTGAGAGCCTACCTATGTTGTAAACTACAAAACAACTTTATCTGCTAGCCACAGGTAAAATCAATTCTAGGGCCATAAAAACCGCAAGCTGCTGTTGCCCTTTGGAGCTCTTCCACTTCAGGCTGTTCAGAGACCTCACTTAGACACAGGAGACTCCTCTCCTGTTCCTGTCTTCCTGTTTCAGGTGGTAGTGGTCCCTCCACTTCAGCCTCTGGACCGGCTCATCAGTCACCGGAAGCTCATACACGCCACCTTGTGGTCATAGCTTTTTTTCCCTTGATCAGCCCCGAATCCCATGAACTCAAAATACAATAAGTTCCTGAGAGCTTCTTAACCAATATATAAACTTCTTTTATGAGTCTTTCTGTCTGAGACGCCTTATTTAATGTATGTTGTTGATTCATTGGTGTTGAACACACGTACTCTCTTCCCCAGGCCTGTTATTTTCTTAGAAGTACTACACAGGACTTAAGCAGTGTTCACGGAAGCCATTTTAAACAGCCGAATTACCAACTAAAAGCACCAAAGTGCAGAAAACATAAAAATTAAATAAACTGTCAATAGGGTACTTGTTTATAATGTTAAAATTCAAACAAGAAGACCCTCACCTGGTTCAACGTCAGCTGGGAGGATGCATGGATCAGGTGGCTTGGAGTTGTTACTGCTGTTCTATTCTCCCTGGAAACGCTGAGCGTATTTTGGAGTTATAAGTAAATGTTAGCAAGTAGGCAAATCAAAGACCCTACAAATCATGAGGATCAACTATACCAATCCAGCCTCTTCTTGAACACTTTTAATGATGACTCCACCTCCCTCATAACAAATTTTCCCTTGGTGGTTAGTTATATTGGTTATATTGAGATAAAATTTGCCTCATCTTTTTTTTTTTTTTTTTTTTTTTGAGATTTATTTATTTGAAAGAGAGAGGGAGGGTGAGACAGTCAGAGATCTTCTATCTGCTGTTTCCTTCCTCAGATGGCTACAATGGCCAGGGCCGATCCAGGCCAAAACCAGGAGCCAAGAACTTCATCTGGGTCTCCCATGTGAGTAGCAGCAGCCCAGACGTTTGGGATATCCTCCGCTGCTTTTCCCAGGCCTTTAGCAGAGAGCTGCATCAGAACTGCTCCAAGACAACACCAGCCCCTTTCTCATTACTTCTAAACATAGGTCCTGTTAGGCTTTCTCATTGTTTGCCCTTCTTTATACTGTTCAGTTCAGCTGTCATACTTACCTGTACTTCGTTTTCCCCTCTCTTGCATGATTAAATGAACAGAGTATTTAATTTTATTAACATTTCCCTTCCTCTGTCTTAACACTCACCCCCATGAAAGCTATGCTCTGTTTACTCCTGCTGCCTCACTTTAGTCCATACCACTAGTTACAAGGAATAAATGGGGCTTGGAGATAAGGCTGGTAAAAAGTTCAGGATAGGGTAACTTCTAATAGATACATTCTCTCTCTCTTTCCTAGGCCCCTTCCTGCCTTACTCCCCATGTCATCTCTGCTTCTCCCCACGTTAGCTTCATTCGTATTCAGATTTTCTTAGTACACTGAAGCAGATGGCCACTAAGATTTCCAAATTTTTATTCTCTTGGCACACTGTCACTACATAGAAGCAAGAATTTCTCTCAACCAGTGTTCATGTTTCAGTTTACATAATAATTCAGGTATTGTTTGGGTTATGTATCTAGCTCTGGTCCAGTTGCTGTTGCCAGGCTATGGGAAACCAATTAGCAGTTTTACATCATGTACAATTAGAAAAGAATGGAAGCTTAAACGATAGCTTTTCTACTACTTTGTGGATTTCTAGAAAAGGGCAGATTTCCAGAGGAAATAGGAGCGCTAGGCAATAACATAACAAATATAAATTGTAAATATTAAGACAAGTCTTGTCTTTGTGCAGTGTTTAGGGTCTTTAAGATGTCTCTGAAGGACTCATCAGTGTAATTGAAGGATTATACGGTTTTCAGATTTTAACAGTATTGGATCAAAATTGATTTTGCTTTAAATGTTGACATCTGTTATTTGTTAGCCATAGATTCATTTTTTTGGAGGTTGTATTATAGTGAACAATATTTATTTTCTCATTTTTATATATTTAAAGCATTTTATTTTAATAATTAAAGACAAGTCAAATTTGCTTTAAGTTGGTGAATAATAATCGGTGCTTGGGTTATAATTTTCTTTTAATATTAACTATAAAAATTATGTTTGTTTCATAATCCATATGAAATTTAAAAGGTGTTGTATTATAAAGGTAAATTACTGAGTTTTTAAATTATGTAGAAAAATGTGACCTATTGCCTTTATCTCTTACCACATATTTGTGATACCATAGGTACCTGCAAGATGTGGAGTTACGGTTCGAGACAGTCTAAAGAAAGCGCTGATGATGAGAGGTCTGATCCCAGAATGCTGTGCTGTTTACAGAATTCAGGATGGGTATGGTTTGTATGTGTTGTGAAATTTTGTTCAAAAAGATAAAAACAGACATTGAAGTTGGGAATTTTCTCTTGGATATTCACCCAAACCTAAAGGAGTTGAAAATCCACTTTTGAAAAATATTATATTAATGTTAAATTATCCTGAAGAAATCTCGTAGGCCCATTGGAGGAGTTAGTTGATTGTAGTATTTTTTACTCTGATCATGTAATTTGATTTGGAGCTTGAGAGTCTTACATTTTTTGAATCAGTTAGAATGTAATTTATTTGACTAATGCACCATTACCCACTTCCCTGTTTTTAATACAAACTCATAGTTGAGCGAATGGTTTATAAAAATTAACACTTTTGTGTTAAACTATTTTTCTTTCAGAAAATATTGTTCCAGGACCCCCAGTTTTGAATCCAAATTTGGGGGCATGTTGTCCCCCTGAGTACTCTTTTTCTTTGAATGGATAGAAAGTCCATACCTGTGATTTTTTATTTTTATTTTTTTGACCCCAGGAACAAACCATTTTCTGCTGTTGTAGGTCTTTTCTGGAGCTGACTTGAAGAAAAGAGTACATCTCTTTACCCTGCTGTTTGTCCAAGAGTGATACATTTATTTGGGGTAAACTTAAAAATTAATTTATTGCCATTTAAATTTCTAACGATGGAAGGCCAGGGAGCCAAACCTCCCTTTTACTAGCCCCTCAGTAACCAATTTTCATATCTTCAGCATGAGGTATATGATGGTTTTTAAGTGTGATAACCAAGAAAGGTTTGTGTCTACGTTTTTCAGAGAGAAGAAGCCAATTGGCTGGGACACTGATATTTCCTGGCTCACTGGAGAAGAGCTGCATGTGGAAGTGTTAGAGAATGTCCCACTCACCACACATAACTTTGTATGTACCTTCACATCTTTTGAAATGTTAAGCATGTTCCAGTTATTGTGAATAAGTTTTTATTTAGGAAGTATGAAATGTGGTTGAAGAATTTTGGTAATAACGTTCTAGCTAAGTGGAAAATCAGTTCTTTAGAAACGTATTTAAATTAAGGAGTCTTGTTTTAAGAGTTATGCCTTCTTTTTAAAAGTATAACTGTAAACCCAAAGTTTTCTCCTTTCTCTCTTTCTCTTCCCTTCAGTACTTTCAGCTCCCTGTCCTAAAACTAATCTAGAGGCCGGCGCCGCGGCTCACTTGGCTAATCCTCCGCCTGCGGCCCCGGCACCCCAGGTTCTAATCCCAGCTGGGGCGCTGGTCCTGTCCCGGTTGCTCCTCTTCCAGTCCAGCTCTCTGCTGTGGCCCAGGAAGGCAGTGGAGGATGGCCCAAGTGCTTGGGCCTCTGCACCCACATGGGAGACCAGGATAAGCACCTGGCTCCTGGCTATTTAGGGGTGAACCAACAGAAAAGGAAGACCTTTCTCTCTCTCTCTCTCACTCGCTCTCTCTCACTGTCTAACTCTGCCTGTCAGAAAGAAAAAAACTAATCTAGAGTCCTGTGGTGGATAGTCTGAATGTTTCTTGTTTAATTTAATAGGCTGGCATGGACATCTTTCTGTCTTAGTACACCTGGCTTTTTTCTTGTAATGATTTCATGATAATCCATAGGAGTAGGCGTTTGGTGTATTTAATCTTTCCTCTGTCAATAGACATTCAAGTTTTTGTATTTTTAAAAGGAACAGAGCTAAACAATCTTGTAAAATCTTGACATACTTCTATAAATGTTTCTGAAGAATGTAATGTAAGTAGTGTAGCTGGATATTAAACTGTTCTCAAGGCTTCTTCCTTTGTCTAGTTTTTTTTTTTTTTTTTTGAAGATTTATGTATTTATTTGAAAGAGTTACACAAAGAGAGAGAAAGGAAGAGACAGCAAAATCTTCCATCCATTGTCTTAGACCCCCAAATGGCCACAAAGGCTAGAACTGGACCAATCTCAAGTCAGGAACAGGATCTTCTCCCACATAGGTGCAGGGGCCCAAGCACTTGGGCAGTCTTCTGCTGCTTTCCCAGGCCATCATCCATTTGGGATGTTGGCACTACAGGTGGTGGCTTTACCCACTACGTCACAGTACCAACCCCCTTTGTCTGGTTTTTGCTTTTGCTAAAATATAGCGTAAGCTAAGTGTCACAAGCCTGCAACCTGGACCTGAGGTATTTCCACTTTAGAGATAAGAGTACAGATCCCAGAGCCTCCCTCCCAGGGTCTGCATTAGCAGTAAGCTGGAGTTGTGAGGTCGAGACAGTCACTGAACCCAGGTACTCCAAGGTGGGAAGGAGGCTTCTCAACTGGCCTCTTAACCAGTAAGCTGTACACCCGCTTCTCTTTCTCTGTCCCTGAAAACAGACAAAACCTAGGATTGGAATGATTTATAACGCAGGAATGTATTTCCTATTTTTTTACATTTTTTTCTATATAGATAGTTATTGCCATGCTTTCCATACACTTTGATAATGAATCCAGCTGGGCCCTTAGGCAGACAATTGAGATGAATTCCTCGGGCGTTTCTGTTTTCAGGGCTCCATTAGTGGTGAGCCATGAAGTCAGATTTGTGCTCTGTAAGTAAGGTATCTATTGAACTAGTGTAAGCTATACCTAATGTCAATCAAATTTATTGTGGAGCAGATAGTTGTGTAATGACAGGCTGTGAAGTTTGTTACTATTCATTTTTATTTTACTTTGGAGAAGTTTGACTGGATAAATCTTGGGGATTTTATTTGAGTTCTTAAAAATCCAGAAATAATTAAGCTTACATTTCATAGTGATTACTAGTATTTTTCTTTCTATTTATTTATCGGAGAGGCAAAGAATCAGAGAGAGCTACTATCCATTGGTTCACTCCTCAAATGCCTTCAGTGGTCAGAGCCTGGGCCAGACTGAAGAAGCTCAGAATTCAGTCCACGTCCCCGACATGGGTGACAGGAACTCAACTACTTGAGCCATTCCTGCTGCCTCCCAGGGTCTGCATTAACAGGAAGCAAGAGGGAAAAGTAAGGGAGGAAACTGCAGAGGAAACTGGTTGTGTGTGAGGCTGCAGGGTGTGGATGGGTCTTTGGGCAGTCACTGTGGGTGGCTCCACACACTCGGTACACTCTGATTCCCTGATGAGGGTCATTGCTGTGAGATCCATGCTCACACCAAGGACCGCGCAGATCCTTTGGGTGGTTCTTGTGGCGGCACGGGTGAAAATTGTACCTTCTGGGGCTACTGCCCAGGCATTGGTCTCCTTGGAAGAGAGGAAGTGAACGTAAGACTAAGCCAGCAGAGCATCTTAAACTTCCCCACTGATTAAAAAAAAAAAAATTACCACACCAACTTGAGTGTCACCTTGGACACTCCCTCACCCTGGAGCATTGAGCAGAGCTCCCTGGCCACGCCCAACATATGCCTCTGGGTATTCATTGAAAGAACAGACACTCCACTGAGCCACAGAGGCATAGTCAAAGATCAAAGATCTAAGCCATGGTGGGTGGGGGACAGGGATCTCCACAAATACCTAAAAGTAAATGCAGCAATTCAAGAAACAAAAATAAGGAAGACAGCATGACACCCCCAAAGGAACACAACAGCACTTCAACACTAGAACGTGAAGATGAAGAGATTGAATAAGTGCTGGAAACAGAGTTCAAAAAATTGATCGTAAGATTACTTAGAAGTAACCAGAAGCAAATCCACAGATTAAAGAAATCCATATATGACGTGGTTGACAATTTTTCCCACAAAATTGATATTTTAAAAAGAAATCAAAATGAAATACTGCAAATGAAGAATTCAATAAATCAAATTAAAAGTGTGGTAGAAAGCCTTAACAACAGACTCAGTGAAGCAAAAGAAAAGATACCTTGAGTTAGAAGACAAATATCTGGAAACTTTACAGTCAGACCAAAAAAAAAAAAAAAAAAGAAGAAGAAGAAGAAGAAATTATTAAACTGAAAAAAAGTTGGAGATTTAGGGGATACTATCAAACAACCCAACATACAGGTCTTAGGAGTTCCTGAAGGCATGGAAAGACTGGATTAGAAGACCTTTTTAGTGAAATAATGACAGAAAACTTCCCTAATTTGGAAAAAGAAAGGGGCATCCAAGTGCAGGAAGCACATAGAACTCTAATAGACATGACTAGAAAAGATCTTCACCACAACACATTGTAGCCAGACTCACCACAGTAAAACATAAAGAGAAGATTCTAGAATGTGCTTGAGAGAAATGCCAGATTGCTTCCAGAGGATCTCCCGTTAGACTCACTGCGGACTTCTCATCAGAAACCCTGCAAGCTATGAGAGAATGGTGAGGTATATTCCAAGTCTTAAGAGAAGAAAACTGTCAACCCAGAATACTATACCCTGCAAAGCTTTCATTTATTAATAAAGGTGAAATAAAGACTTTCCATAACAAACAGAAATTGAAAGAATTTGTCACTACTCATCCACCCCTGCAGAAGATGCTTAAGGAGGTGCTACACACAGAAACACAGAAACATGGTCATCACTACGAAAGAAGGTGAAGGCAGAAAATCCCCCAGTAAAAGTACAAAGGAAATCCAAAGTAAACAATAGGAATATTAATGGAAAAATGGCAGGGCAAAGTTGTTACTTATCAACAGTCACCTTGAATATAAACGGCCTCAACTCTTCAGTTAAAAGCTACAGATTGGCTGAATGAATTAAAAAGCAAAACCCATCTATTTGCTACCTACAAGAAACAAATCTCACCAACAAAGATTGAAAGTGAAAGGATGGAAAAAGATATTCCGACTGGCGCTGTGGCTCACTAGGCTAATCCTCCATCTTGCGGCGCCAGCACACCGGGTTCTAGTCCCGGTCGGGTGCCGGATGGTGTCCCGGTTGCCCCCCTTCCAGGCCAGCTCTCTGCAGTGGAGGATGGCCCAAGTGCTTGGGCCCTGCACCCCATGGGAGACCAGGATAAGTACCTGGCACCTGCCATTGGATCAGCGCAGTGCGCTGGCCATGGCAGCCATTGGAGGGTGAACCAACGGCAAAGGAAGACCTTTCTCTCTGTCTCTCTTTCTCACTGTCCACTCTGCCTGTCAAAAAAAAAAAAAAATATATATATATATATATATATATATATATATATATTCCATGCTAACAGAAACCAAAAAAGAGCTGGTGTAGCCATTGTAATATCAGACAAAACAGACTTTAGCACAACAACTGTTTAAAGAGGCAAAAAAAAAAAAAAGGCACTATGTAATGATTAAGGGATCAATTCAGCAGGAAGATGTGACTATTATAAACGCATATGCACCTAATTACAGGGCACCTGAGTATTTAAAAAAATGTTAATGGATCTAAAGGGACACCTAGACTCCAATATAGTAGTAATGGGGGACTTCCATACACCACTTTCAACAATGGACAGATCAACCAGACAGAAAATCAGCAAGGAAACAACAGAGTTCATCGACACCATAGACCAAATGGACCTAACAGATATCTACAGAACTTTTCCTCCTACAGTTGAAGAATACACGTTCTTCTCACCAGTGCGTGGAACTTTCTCTAGGATAGACACAGGCTAGGCCATAAAGTAAGTCTCAGCAAATTCAAAAAAATCTAAATCATACCATGTATCTTCTCTGACCACAGTGGAAGGAAGCTGGAAATCAACAACTCAGGAATCTCTAGAACATATGTAAACACATGGAGATTGAACAACATGCTCCTGAATGAACAGTGGGTCGTAGAAGAAATGAAAAGAGAAATAAACTGTTGAGGAACAGTTTTTTTTTTTTTCCATAATATTTGTTGAACTCAGTATAGAGTTAATCTTATATGTATAAAGTTAATTGAAAATAGATCTTAGTAAAAATTATGAGTGGGAATACGTGAAAGAAGAGGAAAAAAGGGTATGAGGGCAGGTGCGATGGGAAGAATCACTGTGT